TTTTACTTTGCAATGGGTGCTTAAGGTCTGCTCTGAGTCCTTAATTTTAATGCTATATAAACTGACCTTTACATTTCCCTAGTTACCTCTGATTTCCACCAAATAATTATGATATGGTTACGGATAAGAAAAAAATTATGAGATGTTCTAAATTAAATTACAGTGGCTGGAGAGTGAAAGAGACAAAACTGTTAGTCTGTTAATGGCTGCAGGCCAGTTAACAAAAGACTTCTCACATACCCCTTTTGCCTGTTGGGATTTCAAATTAATTTTCACATATTATGTTAGCCAGGCAACACCTAACTCCAGGGCCTCCATTTTTTATTTACACAGAGTTTTCTGAACTCTGCCCCCAGCCCATCCACAATTCTTTAAGTGGTCTCTGCTATCCCAGAGCTGTATCTGCTTCACCTTCCCTCACCCCTTTGTCTATATAGCTCATGGAAATTCTTTCAGACTACCTCTTTCTTCCCCCTTCCTCCTACTTGATGTATAAAAAATGCTGGCAAGCCTGGGACTAGACATGTCTTTTCTTCCTAGCAATGCTGCTAGTGGTTTAGACACTATGTCCCAGGACTAATTTTTTGGCTAGCATTTTTGGCTCAATCAAATCTTACTTAAAACAAACAAATAAACTTCAGTCGTGGAAGTTAAAGATTTTTAGCTTAACAGTACTTATTGTCAAATTTATTGTCTCTTCACTTACCAGGTTCCGCAGAGAAACAAAAGCCACAACAAAAATATTCACAATAGAGCTGACCCCTTAAAAATTTGTCCATATTCAACCCCACTCTCACTGCTTAATGTGAGCATCTGTCCTAGTCCATCATCCCATCGGATCACTATCATTTTTGGGTCCGTTTCACTGTGTTTGTCAGATATATAAAACAAAACAAAACACAGTGTTAATTGATTGCAAATTGAAAATGAAAATCCTGCAAAAGATGAATGGCTTCATAAGATTGACAGCGTTACTCAAAAAAGTTCCCAAATTAAATGCAAGGCCAAAGACAAATGCAGAGTTAGGCCAGTTAACTTGATAAGCTTGATATTCAAGAGATGCTTGAAACATCAAAGGTTAACATCATTAGCCAGCAGAGACATGCAAACCAAAGCCATAATATGAACAAACTTTTCACTTAGAAAAAGGTTAGCTCCAATGTTTAAAATGGACAAAAACATTGAATAGACATTTCACCAAAGAGATTCAAATGGCAAATGAGCACAGGAAATGATGCTCAACATTTGCATTTGGAAATGCAAACTAAAAATGACGCACAAATACACACTAGAATGGAAATTTTTTTTTTTAAACTGACTATACAATGTGCCAGGAACAAGGGGCAGGAACAGGAAATCTCATACCTTGCTGATAGGAATGCAAAACAGTAAAGTTAAACATACAACCTGGCAATCCCACACTTGGGTATTTACTCCAAAGAAAAAAAACCACATATGTACACAAAGACTTGAATACAAATGTTTATAGCACCTTTATTTATGATGGACCCACACTGGCAATATGCCCATCAACTGGTGAATGGATGAACAAATTGCAGTACATCCACACAGTGGAATA